ATCTTGTCAGTGACCTTCACATACATGGAATACGCCAAGGCGAGCAACAACAGCACAAAACACCACAACTCTTGGTGTCCTTCGGCAAATCGTAGACTCCTTGATCCACATTGGCAATGTTACCCGACCTGGGCCTTCAGAGTTGTAGTAGGTCATTAGCAGATGATCTCCCGTGGTGTGTCGAACACTCTCTATAAGGATCATCTCAGACATGATTGATTATCACTGCGGAATAAGTAACGGTGAAATGTGGAAGCTATTGTTCTGTGCACTGCCTATAAGTACGATGCGAGATGCGAGATAAGCGGTACTAGTCCAGTTAAATAGCCGAAACTGAGACAAAAGTGATAACATAGCGACAAAGTTATTTCCGCTGGCGTAATGGTGTAATAAAGGATTGCGAATATTGTTGTATGAATTTATATAGTCCGGGCAATATGTTAATATTCGGTAGGTAGTGAAATTGCAACTACATTCTAATCACACTTTTATCACTGCGCGTTGCGACAAATTCAAATTTATTTAAGCTCGTAGCTTCAATTACAAGTATCAGAGTAATGCTAGTTCCGTGGGTCACAGACTTCTGGGCCAATCACCGATCAGTCGGCACCACAGAAAATACTATCAGCATTTGTATACGGCATTGAAGGCAGATCCTATATTCTATAGTCCAGAAGAAATTGTACCTAGAAAAAGTCTCTAGAATGATGATACAGCCAATTAGGGCAAAGGCAAGCAATCAACGAACGTAGACTGAATTTAAAGAGTACCTACTCCGATTTAATAGGAAGACCATAAAAGGGTCACAGTGAGTCTCTTGATAGGACACTGTCGTCCAAATCGACATACGAGATGAGGCTCTTGGATCTATCAGAAGATGCCACATTTCGTTTCTGTAGAGAGCATGAGGAGACTCCAGTGCAGCTCCTGTACCACTGCGAATGCCTGTCAAGGCTATGGTTTCAGAGGCTATAACGTCTGATTAAAGGATTAACTACAAATACAAGTAGATAGGTCAAGAAAAGAACAGATAAAAAATGTATGTACAACACCGTTTAACACAAACATCAACATCATAGATGTATAGAGATAGCATATACCGGAAAAAGAACAACATATAAAATGCATAAGACACAATTAAAGCAAACAATCAAAAAATTCCTCAATGGTATATAGTGAGACATCGATCAAGTTTTTTAACTGACTTAAAAATCTATTAAGTAAGTATTTTTTAGTAACGAGTGAAATAACTGTGATTGAAGTTGTTGGTATCGAGCTCTCCTTTTCTTTTATGTATAAAACAGAACAATTTATTAGGGCGCATGGCAACCGATGTGAATATATTATGTTTAAATGTTGTGCGACATGATTCTTGATAACCGTGAATAAATGTTTTCCAGGTAAGCCTTTTTTTTGGTGTATAAAAACTCTTGATAAATCCGAGGACTGTCCCCAAACGGCAATATTGTATGCCATGGTAGAAAAAGCGTATGTATACAGTAAAGGATTGTTAAATTTATTTTTAGTGAGCAAATCATGTAATAGCACTTATTTGATTCAGCCAGTTTTTTCAGTACCAATGCCTAAATTTATTAACTTAATTTGTTACTATTGTTTGGGAATCTCCCGTGACTAAAATATAGTACGGTCATCACCATATAGAAATGTAAATGCTTAAATGCTGCTAGGACTTTGTTTTCATCTAACGCATTGTGTTGTTGTTTTCAAAGTTGAGTCATTTATTTGAACAGCTTGTATAACTCGTCAAAAGAAGTTGATATACCAAAAATCACTTAAATAAAAGTTGCATAATAAGAGAGTTAGTTTACATTATTAAAAATTATTTATAAAAATCATTATCAAGTTAAATGTTAAAATTGTCTCCATTTGTCCGATTAACGCAAAGAAAAAAGCACCTTCAAATAGCCTAACAGAAAAAATCGCAAGACGTTAAATCCGAAGATTTTCCACGGCAGGGGTCGAGAATATCAAAAAATCTATGTAATAACATTTATATTTTTTTATGTTTTACTATTTCTTTTATTATGCAACTTTGAGATAGGTGATTTTGGTATATCAACTCGTTTTTGACGCGTCCGACAAGCAGTTAAACTAAATAATTCAACTTTGAAAACACCCTGTATACAGTTAAATCCATACACCACTGACGACGTAATTTATACGAGAGAGAATCGCGAGAAACCTGCAATACGTATGTTAGAAAGAGATAGAAGCACCACGTTGCCTAACCACCCGAGTGACGAGACAACGGTCGCAGCTGCGGCTTGCCGCGTCGCCGTCGGCGCACTCTTTCTAACGTCTTGCACGCTTCTGGTGCTACTCTTGCCTACACATTACCTTGTGAGTGATATTTGGATTTCGCTGTATACAAGTTTGAGACAGAAATTGTAATAATTTATTCTTTCAATGGTCTAATTATTTTTAAGTACAGCAAAAAAAATTCTTAGTGATGTTAGAAGCCTACCAAATATTCTTTCTGGTGTTTGCGATCTATTTAGCCAATATGGCGGAACAAGTAGAATTAAAGAGTTATACTAGCTTGTTTCATTCCTATGTAGTCAGTATTTTTGCTAGAGCTGTTTCGTGCTTGTTTCGTTTTTTACGATGGCACGCTTCAGTGAGCAACGTGCAACTGTGAAATTTTGCTTTCTAATTGGTAAAAATGCTGCTGAAACTGAGGGAAAAAGTCATGTCGATTGATGACAAACCTCGCTCTGGACGTCCATCAACTGCCCGAATCGACGAAAATGCTGGAAAAAGAGCTTGTGCTATTTGGAGGTTTTAAGACTATTGCAAAACAGTGTTCGGCCAAAAAGACCCGAGTTGTGGCAGTCAGGACACTGGTTCTTCCACTACAATAATGCACGTGCGCACACAGCCATCTCTGTTCGACAGTTTCTGGCTAAAAATGGCATGGTTCCGCTGCCTCACGCCCCTTATTTGCCTGACCTGGCTCCGTGCAATTTTTTCTTATTTCCACGGATGATAAGGGGCATGAAGGGACGTCGCTTTGACGACATTGAAGAGGTCTTGAAAAAATCGAGGATGGAGCTGTCAGACATTTCTAAGGAAGACTTCAAAAAATGTTTCGAGTAGTGGGACAAGTGTATTAGTTGAAGTGGACAGTAGTTTGAAGGATATAAGGTTACTTTGTGAATAAGGTGGAAATAAATAGCTTTTAAAATTCCTATTTTTTTTTGGTACCCCCTCGTACCTCTTACAGTATTTGCCTCAGGAAAACAAATTATATCGATTTCAATTCATAAAAACGCAAAATAGATATATCGGTCCAATCAAAAAAAAAAATTATTTTTAATATGAAACGGTGAAAACGCTGTCGGCCATGACGTGACGTCATACAAGTTGTAAACAAAGGAACGTCGTCCGTATGTCACTCGTGGACTAACGTTGTCTTCTTTAACCTTCCCAAAAAAAACTTCTAATTAATATAAAAAGTTATCGTTCTCTCATTTTGTTGAACAAAAACAATCATGGACATTGGATTCGTAAAAGCAGAAAGCACAAATTTGCCGAAAACAGACACAGTGATGGTTGATAATGTCCCAAATGAATAAAAGTGAGCATATGCTTATACTTGCGAAATTAAAAGTAAATGCTTCAAGGGATATGAATAAAATTATAAGTAAATGCTTTTGCTTATAAGTAAGAAGCAAGTGCTCATGATATTGAAGGATTTGCTTCAAACGTATGAATAAAGCCAACCTTTTGCTCAAAAGTGCGAGTATTTACTTATGGAAAACTGATGCTGCTATTCAGTAGCATCAGAGCTGCTAGTGGTTCCGTACGTTTTGCACGGTTGTTTGGTTAAAAGTAAAAATGGCTGAAATGATGAATCTTCGAAATATGAAATACTACAAACCACGGCGTACACCGCGAACTAGTGATTTTAAAAGTATGTTCCGGTTTGAAGAGGAAAATGTGAAGTGGTTAGCCCAGAACTTTCTAGGCGAGAGTGTAGAAAGGTGTGGTGGTGCATTATCAGCTTTACACAGAATGAAAGTATGTTTAAGGTATTTGGCAAATCCAGGTTTCCAAAGCGGAATTGGCGAAGAGCTAGGCATTGAGCAATCCACTGTTTCTCGCACTGTGAGAGATGTGGTAAAAAAAATAACTCTACAGCCTAATCGTTGGATTCAGTTTCCTAAAAGTCACCATCATATAATGAAAGCCAAAGAACTCTGGGCAAGCCGGTTTAGATTTCCGACTGCTATTGGAGCACTAGACTGCTCACATGTGAAAATAGAGAAACCCAACTTACATGGGGAAGAATACATAAACCGCAAAGGGGAAGTAACTTTGAACGTACAAGCTACGTGCAATGCAAGGTACGTATTCACCAGCGTGGATGTGAGCTGGCCGGGTTCGGTACATGACAGTCGAATCTGGAAAAATTCCGACGTGAGAGAAGTAATGCGACGTACACAGAACACCGTTCTCATTGCTGATCAGGGATACGGAATTGAACCTTGGCTTATGACTCCTTATCGAGAACCTGTCAACATAGACGTGAAGAAGGCATACAATAAACTATTGTCAAAGGAAAGGGTAGTAATCGAGCAGTGTTTTGGACAGATAAAACGGCGCTTTCCGATACTGAAATATTGTTGTCGCGTGAAATTGACTAATGTTCCAGATATAATTGTAGCTTGTATCATTTTACACAACATTGCTAAGGCCTTGCAGGATCCAGATTTTGAGGGTAGTGATGAAGATGAAGACGGCGCCGACGATGTTGTTAGTGGGCATGAGGAAGAGAATGACGACTTACGTGTCCGCGGTCAGGAAGTGCGTGAAGTTTTAGCGAATATAATTCAAAATTATAACGCACCGTGATAAGTGATCTACTCGTATGTGTTTGTAATAAATTTGTATTGATCTTAAACTTATAAAAATACATTGCAGAGTAATATAGTTTCTGTGATCCTCGAACCTACATATACATTACTAAAATCAACCATATGTCCCAGAAAAAAAACAGAGAAAGCATCCTTTATGACTGCTGTAAAAATTTCCCGCCCCTTCTCAGAACCCAGCCATCATAGGTTCGCATACGTATTTCCGTTTTCGTGTACCATTTGCACGGCTTCCCTTTGCAATTTTCTCTCATAATACCCTCTTTGGACTCGGGCAGTCTGTAGCTGTTCTAGCAAAACTAACCGTTGCAGCTCTACGTTGGACAACTTTCCAGTTTCCTGTGTCTCGCCTGGTGGTGCAGTTGCTGCTCGCTGTCGACGTGGAGGCATTGGCAGAGGAGTAGCAGTCGTAGCTCTTTTTTCGGATTGATCCAAATTAGAAGAGGATGTATTGGGTGAGGACGTGCCATATGATCTTGCTCCTGCCATGAAAGAAAAAATTGATAAAGTAGACCTGACGACAACCATTGGCAGATCCAGGAGTGCTGGGGCACGGGGGGCTTGAACCTACTATCTTATAATAAAGAACAAACAAGCAGCGCTAAAATGCACGCTGAAGTTACATTTTAACATGTATCACAAATCACTTTGTATATAAAATACTTTCTTACAACAGAAATTTGTTAACCGGATAAAAATATTTTGATTCGGTTTCAACAAAAGACAATTTCTTTTTTTATTTAAATGAATCCGTAGCACTAATCTCTTTGAAGTTTGCCGTAGTCAAGACACTCAAAATACTAATATGTTCGTAAAAGTTACGAATCCCCCTTCCCCATTGAACAAAGCTGAATACGCCCTTGCACCATAATATATTTATTATTATCCACTCTTGTTCTTACCTGCTATTTTCGCCACACTTGGATTTGAGTCTCCATCCATGGCGTCGTACAAGGTTTTTTCCCATGGAAGAAGTTTAACAGGCTTGTTACCGGTTTTTCTTACATCGGTCTTCTTCTTTAAGCGTGCCTTCATATTATTGACTTTCTTCATCAGTTGTACGGTTGTTATGGACTGCCCCATAACACTTTCATATAATTCTAATATTTTTCTTACCGCATCCTCTTTCTTTTTCTTAGATGCAGACGTCTGTGATTTACTAAGGATCTCTGGATATTTGCTGACCTGATTTGCTATAAAGTCCAGCGCCTGCACCTTACTATCATTTTCACATGCAGCTTCATCTTCAGATGACGACATTTTTTACACTCGTTATAGTACAGAAGATTTACCCCTACCACTAAAGAAGAGGATCGAGTTTCCCTGGATCAGCGCTTTGCCTTATCCAGTCCTATTTTATTGTATTCAGAGTTAGTTAGTCTGTTGTTAGCGCTCATACTACATACATCAATAGAATTGTATTTTTGATAATCGAGAATAAATCTTTTTAAAAAGCAAGTAGACTGACTCGGTCAGATAATTGGCGCAGCCAGTAGGATTTTCGGGCTGTTTCGCGAATCAATCGAGACCGCGAAAGCAGTTTTCGTATCGACGAATTTACCGGAAAAACGGCCTACGGACTAAAGACTTTGGTGAGTGGGAGTTCGAGCGGAACCGGTCTATCGAAGACACCGTGTGCAGCTACCACCTACGAAGTCAGGGATTTGGACCACACATCGCCCAAATCTGCAAGCGGAACATTTTGGAGAAGGACCAGATCGCCCAACCAAGATCGTCCCCTTATAGTTAAGCAACCAAGTAAGACAAAGAAAGAAACGTGATGCACTTGATCATCCTCGTATTAGCGTAAGTGCAACTATACATTTTAAATGTCTTTGGAAGATATTGCAGAGGCTATAGATAATTTGACACTTTCAACAGACTCACCTATTTTAAGACCACCTAGATTAAATATTGAAAATATTCCAAGCATGTCTCAATTCAGACCAGAATTTTTAAATTGCGTCCCAGAGTTTGACGGAAATCCTAACGACTTAAATAGGTTTCTATCAGTGAGTGAAACATTAATTGCAAATTTTTATGATATACGGAACCCACATAATTTCCAAAATATCTATTTGCTAAATTCACTGATCTCGAAATTAAAAGGAAATGCTAAAGTGCTTGTGAATATCCAAAATATCACAAGTTGGGCAGATTTAAAAGACATTCTGACTAGGAATTTTTCTGATCAAAGAGATGAAACTTGTCTAAATCGTGATTTGGTTATGTTGAGGCAAATGCCAAATGAAACGCCTCAAAAATTTTATGATAAGTGTCTTCATATTTTGAATCTGCTATGCAGCCATGTAAACGTACATGAACATTCTGAAGAAGCAAAAGTGTTAAAAAGAAATTTATATCAAGAATTAGCTCTGAAAACATTTTTGTGCGGACTACGAGAGCCCTTGGGTACAACAATTAGATGTATGAAACCCACATCTCTCAGCCAAGCTTTACAATTCGTTATATCTGAAGACAATGTCAGCTATTTCCAAAATTATAACAAAAATTTTGGAAAATCACAAAATGTGCCCCAGAATCAAACTTCCAGGCCAATGCAAAGGCCAATGATAAGTCAAAATAGACCTTCATACTTTCAGCCTACTAATTATTCATTCAGTCAGCCGAACACTTCAACATTTCAACCTAGGTTCAATTCGACTTTTCCGACTGGACCTGTAAATTTGCCAAGACCAGTTTATCGTCCTCAGAGATTTCCGACGAATTCTCAAGTTTTTAGACAAACACAGAATAACAGAAACGTTTTCAAACCTAACCCTAACCGTACTTTACCACAAACTACTCCAATGAGTACTTCTACTAGAATTTCTTTCAAACCTGAACATAATTCGACAGCCCAGCAACAACCAAAACCAAATTGGATCGCTGAAGAGCTATTCAATACAGAGATAGAAAGCAATAACACCTATGAAGTTCCTGGTAACGAATCTTTTGTTTGCGATCAAACTGTAGCTGAACCACAAAATTCAGATACATATTTCACTGATCAGTATTGCGAGTATTATACACAAGATATTCCTGAAACTGATTACGTAGAACCACCTCAAAATTTTCAGAAGGACTCATTCATAGAACACAAGACCTAGCACCGGAAGTAATTTCACTTAACGCCAGCAATGCTAGCGAACTATCCTACATTCTTTTTCCCGAATATGGAATTAAAATGTTGATCGATTCTGGATCAACTAAGTCATTTATTGATCCCAGTATTGCTCGTAAATTTTTTCCAAATTTAATCAGAGATGATCCATTCGTTGTATCAACTGTTTTTCAAAAATCCGCTCACAAATATAGTGCATCCATCCCGGCATCGAAAATTTTCAATCTTCCTAATCGTATAGATTTGAAGTTTTACCTATTTAAATTTCACAATATTTTCGATGGATTGATTGGATTAGATAATCTAAAATTATTGAGAGCCGATATTAATTTAAGCAAAGGAACTTTACATACGCCCTACGCCAAAATTAGACTAAAATTTCACCAGCTTTCTAACGACTTGAATTTGATAACCGTCGCACCTCGAACCGAACAAGTAATAAAAATCAAAACATCGATCGCCAATGGTGAAATCGTTATTCCTCATCAAAAATTTCATAATTGCGAGATACCTGAATGCCTTACGATAGCAAAAAATAATTTTGCGTTGACAACGATTTTGAATAACACTACTAAGCCTGTTACATTAAATTTTTCTCAGCCGATTTCAGTAGAATCATTTAATTTATCAGAAATGCCAGAAATTGATCTCAATTATTTAGACACGTCACAAAAATTTGACCTAGATTTGTCGAAAATCAGAATTGATCACCTAAATTCTGAAGAGAAATCAGGGATACTTCAACTTTGCAGAGAGTTTTCAGACATTTTTTACCAGGACGGAACTCCACTAACATTTACTAATAAAGTCAAACATCAAATAAAAACCAAAAACGAAAGGTCCATTTACACAAAATCGTATCGCTATCCATTTGTTCACAGAGGCGAAGTAAATAGCCAAATACAAAAAATGTTGGATTCCAATATAATACGTCCAAGTAGCTCAGGTTATAATTCACCTATCTGGGTCATTCCAAAGAAGCTAGACGCTTCGGGGAAGCAAAAATGGAGAGTTGTAATTGACTACCGAAGTTTAAATGAACAGACTATTGACGATAAATATCCATTACCCAATATCAACGACTTGCTAGACAAACTTGGCAGATGCCAGTATTTTACTACCCTTGACTTAGCGAGTGGTTTCCATCAAATCGAGATGGAGGAAACAGACATAGAAAAAACCGCATTTAGTACCGAAAATGGGCATTGGGAGTTTCTCCGGATGCCTTTTGGCCTAAAAAACGCACCCGCCACATTCCAACGCGTCATGGATAATATTTTAAGGGGGATACAAAACGAGAAATGTCTCGTATATCTCGACGACATTATAATTTTTTCTACATCCCTTCAAGAACATATTGAAAATTTAAGGTCAGTTTTCCAACGACTCAGAACTTCAAAATTTAAAATACAGCTCGATAAATCAGAATTCCTTCGTAAAGAAGTAGCTTATCTCGGACATGTAGTCACACCAGACGGCGTTAAGCCAAATCCAGATAAAATTATTGCCATCCAAAAATTTCCGATTCCAAAAACGACTAAGCAGATTAAAAGCTTTCTCGGACTTATTGGTTACTATAGACGTTTTATTAAAGATTTTGCGAAACTCACAAAGCCTCTAACTAAATGTCTAAAAAAGGGAGCCAAAATTGAACACGATGCAGAATTTATTGACTGTTTCGAAAAATGTAAAAATGTTCTTATCAATGAACCGATACTCAAGTATCCAGACTTTTCTAAGCCATTTAACTTAACCACGGATGCGAGCAACGTAGCCCTTGGTTGTGTACTTTCACAAGGCCCTATAGGACAGGATCTTCCTATCGCCTATGCTTCGCGCACGCTTAATGATTCCGAACGAAATTATAGTACGATTGAGAAAGAATTACTAGCAATAGTCTGGGCGACTAAATACTTTAGACCTTATCTTTACGGGAGAAAATTCAATCTAATTACTGATCATATGCCCTTAAAATACTTATGGTCCCTTCGAGACCCTTCTTCAAAATTACTAAGATGGAAAATCAGGTTAGACGAGTATGATATGAATATCATCTATAAGAAAGGCAAACTGAATACAAATGCAGATGCCCTGTCTCGTGTAGAGATCCATACAAAAGAAACCAGTTCATTTTGGAACGACTTAGATGATTTGATTCAAGAATGCGCAGGTACTCAACACCAAAACGTTAAGTTTGACCGACCAGTTCAGAAAGGCTCATCTGAATTAAGTACACCTACATTTAACCTTTCTACCCCAAAACAACCTGATACCGAATCTATGTTCGTAAACGTCGATAATGACGAAGACAGTCTTTTTATTCAACCCCTGGACGAAATTGTAGATATCATTGAACATGAACAAGTCAATCTAGAATATCAAAATAATCGTCCTGAAAATCCAGACGAAACTGTACATTCAAATGCGGACCAACACCCCATTCAGACAATTCCTATAGTTGATTACGCAGTTAATCAGGGAAATAATCAGATTATCATAAGTACAGTAAAACATTCACCTGCACCACCAAAAATTTCTATTTTATTTGAAAGCAAGCAACGAATTAACGTACAATTTTCAGAAAATGATTTTGACGATGATGTATTTAAATTTATTCGAGATTATATTGCTCCTAACGTCATTTATCACTTATACTTTGAAAATCCAGATATATATGAAAAATTTTCTGTTGTTCTACAAAGGATGTTTAAGTCCGATGCTTTGAAATTCAAAATGTGTAGAACCAAATTAGTCGACGTTACAGATAAAACTGATATCAAGGACATTATCCGGAATTACCACGAAAGTAAGTCGAATCATCGTGGAATTGAGGAAACGCATCAGAGAATAAAAGAAAAATATTTTTGGCCTAATTTGAAAAAATCAATCCAAACATTTATAAATGAATGTGAAATTTGTCAACAATGTAAATATGAGCGTCATCCGATAAAAATTGCGATGAATCTCACCCCCACTGCATCAAAACCTTTTGAAATCGTACATATCGATACTTTCACTTTTGAAGGTTCAAA